AGGCCGTCGGCGGACTTCGACACAACGCCGGCATCGTCGGCATATAGCATCCCCCACACCGCCCTCCGGACTCGGTCCAGCAATCCCCCCCCCCTCCGTTCCTCCTCCTTCAAGTACACTAGGTCCCGCACGATAACCTCATCTTGGCTGAACCGTGTGACAATGATCTCGAGAGGCGCTGCGAAGAAGACGTTGAACAGCAGTGGGGACATTGAGCACCCTTGTCGTAATCCCTGCGTGACCGGGAACCAGTCCGATAGCTCCCCATCGTCCGTGCGGACCCGGGCCCGCATTCCGACGTGGAACTTGCGGATGACGGCGATCATCTCCCCGGGGATCCCGGCCCGGGCCAGCACCTTCCACAGTAGCTCCCGGTCCACCGAGTCATATGCCTTCTGCAGATCGATGAAGCACATGTAGAGCGGGATTCTCCTCCTCCGCACCGGTGGGGTCCGCCATCTATGACCGGTCGGGCTGTGGGGTACTGGCTTTTTGTGTGTGCCAGCAGCCTCAGTGAGCGCAGTGACGGGTGTCCACCTCGCGCATTGCTGCGTGAACGCGCTTGACCATATTTGTCCAGTCTGTTCGTGTGTCTTTTTATTTTGATTCAAATTCCAAACGTTTTTATTGGTCCAAGAAGGAAAAGCGCAGTCTATTTGCCACGGAAAGTTCACCCGGTTTGGGACACATTTTTGGCCTCAAAATAGGGGTAACCTCAGGGTCTAACAGTATATGCCGCGATACAACGCCATCGCTTTTTGGACTATCGCAAATTGCTTGTGGTTTACTGCTCCGCCAAGCTTACGAAACTTGAGCCGCCACTGAGCGCTCCATGATGAAATCTTACCATGAATCGGATTCATTTGGTGTATGTGCATCTGGATACATGGTCAACATGTGGCTTCAATTCAAAGCATTTTTACCTCGTGACTACGAGACACATCGCCCACGCATTTCAAGAACAGGCCGATGGAGATACAACGGAGAGCCAATGACCAATTGCTTTACCAGCATCAGCCAAAGCGCGACCACCACCAATCAATACCAGATAACCATAAAACAATGGTATATCTACGTCCTGTAGCACAGGAGCTTGCCCCTGTTTTTCGTCGAGTTTTTGAATGAGCACTGTCACAGGCAGCGCCCTTCGATCTGGTGCTCACTCTGCCCGTCACAACACGAAACGAAGCATTTTCTTGGGTGCCAGGCTTCCTCGAGGTGCAGTGTACCCTCGCGACTAGTTAGTCTCTTCACGAATCACGAACATGTTTTCGAACACGCTCTAGCGCGACCTGAATGTCGGCTGTGGAATGGTGACCCTCCCCCAGCCTCTTTCTTCGGATGGAGGATGCCCTCTCTAGTCGTGGAATCGCCTCGTTGTGCTTGCCCTGAGGACATTTGAGATCCGAGGTTGCGCATTCAATCCAATGCGCAACACCATGTGTAATGCGGAGTATGTAAAACGAGACTTGACGCAAAAGATTAAAATATCGATTCCTTCACCCGGTACAAGCAGCAATGCGATGGAACAGCGGAGAAGTTGAGCGAGACTGCGCAACAAAGCTCATAGACACGTAAGAATCGACATGGTAAGGGTTATCACGAACAGATTATGTAAAAGGTGGTGACATTTATGGGAAATTCCCAAGATTTATTACTGGAAAAATCTCACGGCTCGTACCTGACTGTGTAACAACCACGCCCGGTTGTTGAGCCTTGTTGCGAGATCTGGGTGGTCGGGGCCGAGCATTTTCTCTCCGATCTCAATAGCTCGTAGATAAAGAGGGTCTGCCTCCGCATACTTCCCCCGGAAGCGGACAGTCCATGTCACGTTAGAAAACGCCATGCGAGTGTGGTGAAAGAAACTATAAGTTGAGGTTATTCCGGAGGAACATTTCTCAACAACCGCGCCTGGTTGTTGAGCGTTGTGGCCACATTGGGATCTCAGGACCGAGACTCTTTACAAATATCGCCTGACACCGCTCGTAGAGCGGCTCAGCGTCGGTGTGCGTGCCATGGATGCAGTGGTTGACAGCGAAAGTAAACGTGTAATTAGAGACTGTTCTACAACGGCGGAGGAACATTTCTCACCAACCCCGCCGCCCGGTTGTCGAGCGACTGGGCCACATCAGGGTGCTCTGGACCCACGGACTTCTCTCGTATGGCTTGCGACCGCTCATAGAGTGGCTCTGCTTCGACATACTTCCCCTGGAACGCAGTCGACAGCGGGGCAAGGTCACACTTTAGTACAAGTCGGATCTAGAACTGCAGACCAAAATGTGCTTCTAGATCCTTCTAGAAGCATTCACTGGCTCTCACCTGTGCTTCCAACAACCCCGCCCTGTTGTTGAGCGTCGTCGCTAGACTTGGGTGGTCAGGGCCAAGAACCTTCTCTTTTATCGCCTGACACCGCTCATAAAGGGGCTCAGCCTCCGAGTGTTAGCCCTGGATGCAGTGGACAGCGTGGTAAAGTCGTATTTCAGTTTGAGAATCGAAAATGAGATCGCGGAGAAACATTTTCTCAACAACCCCGCCCAGCAACTGCGATATCAATTTAACACCACAAGAAACTCCGGTTGCAGCTTTGTTGTTCAGCCACACGGCAAGAGTTGGGTGGTCAGGGCCTAGAGTCTTCTCCCCAATCTCAACAGCTCGCAGATAGAGAGGGTCGGCTTCCTCGTACTTGCCCTGAAACACGGTCGACGGCATGGCAGGGTAATTGTTCAATACAAGCCGGATCTAGAACTGGGAAAAAACATTCCTTTCTAGATTCCCTTCTAGAAGCATCTGGAAACATCGTTTGGCTCTCACCTGTGCCTCCAACAACCCCGCCCAGTTGTTGAGCGTCGTAGCAACATCTTGATGATCACGCCCTAGGATCTTCGCTTGAATCTCTACAGCACGAGGATAGAGTGGCGCAGCTTCTGCTTGGTGGCCCTGGAACGTGAGGGAAACGTGCGCCTTAAGCGTGATCGAGGACACGAAGATAAGGTAACAGCGGTCATTGTCTGCTCTCAACCTTCTCAACAGCTCCACAATGGAGGCGGCCTCGTCACTCTCTGCAATACGAAATTATCTTCGACCGTCACCTGTTATCTTAAGCTGTCCGCCCGTTCGCGGAGATCCGTAGCGACCTTCTGGTCGTCAGAATCGGACATCGTGCCACCGCCAGCCATGGGAGGCTTATGATGTTGGCCCTCTTCCTCGTTTTTGTCCTTCGCGTTCAGGGCGAAACAGCAAGAGTTCCGATTACGCGGTGAGTGGGGAGTGTTCTTTGCGTTCGATGGCACCAGAACCATCGGATGCCTTGGAAGTGCGATAGGGGGGCGGCCGAGGATCGAGAAACGCATGGAAATGAGGGGACGTTCTGAGTACACGGATTGTTTAAAGGTGGGCGTGAGGGCGGCCACTGAACCACTGTGATGACGATCTGTCGTCAAACGCGTGGCGGTTTCTCACCTTCGTACTGAGCTTTTCGGCCAACATTTTCCCGAGCTGCTTGAATGGGCCACTGCTAGCTCCACTCGACGGAGGAAGGCCCTTGCTCGCGACCGGCAGGTCCGCAAAGGGCGCGTACATATTCCCTGCGCCCGGAACCACTGTATCCTCTGCAGCGCGCCGTGTAGTCCCCCCTCGAGTGTAAACCCATCTCTACCGATACCGGACTCGGCGGAAGCAGATCCCTTGCTCTTGTCAGGAGAGGGCCCGGTATCGACTTCAGCCGCTTGGGACGCGGGGTCAGACGAACTTAAGGACGCGTCAACACCGCCGTTGACCGTGCGTGGTGCTGGACCACCTACGCGAGGGTCTCCGACGCGTCGAACCATGTCTGCCAGCGCCTGAACCACGGGCCTAAGCCCCGCGGGGCGATCTGCGGGGTTTTGCTTCCAGCATTGCTCCATCAGAGCCACGACATCGGGCGAAGCAGACGCCCCTTCTGGAATTTGAGGACGCTCTTCTCTGTAGAGCACCGCCCCGATTACGTGCGCGTTTCTTTTCCTTGAATGGTTCTATGCGGGTGACCACCTCGAAGCACAGAACGCCAAAACTGGTCGGGCGAAAAACATGCAGGTGGAAAAGAGTGATATAGGCAGAGAATGTGGCACAGCGGCGCCAGTCACTCAAGGCGAATAACAAGTTCGCTTTCGGGAATACTGTTCCGTTCACACGTCGCATGTCAGCGAATGCTTCCCCGTTCCGACCAGCTAGCCCTACATCACCTGTACACATCGATGAGCTCATTTGCTGCGCTCTCGTCCATCTCCTGAGACATCCTCTGGGTGGTCCCCACAGCCCCTTGTTTCGACTCACTTGAGAGGTCGGTCTTGACCTTGGACAAGCCGAAGTCGCACAGCTTCAGGCGGCCATTGGAGAAAATGACGACGTTCGCCGATTTCAGGTTGCGATGCAGAATACCCTTGGCGTGTGAAAACGACATACCTCTAGAAACGTCGAACAGGAACGCCGTCTGCAACGCGTGTGCGAGCGGCTCACTCGTTGAGTGAAGGTAGTTTTGGAGCGAGCCCCGCTCAGCGAGCTCAACAACCAAGCAGAGGTGGGGGGGTACGGTAGAAGCCGCATATAGCGAGGCCACGAACGCGTAGTGCAGACTGGAGCGGAGGCAAATCTCCTGACGTAAGGCGCGGACAGTCGCGCGGAAGGCCGCTCGCCAGGAGGTGCTTCACCGCTACGTCTGCCCCATTCCACTTTACTGTGCGCACTTCACCGACCCCCCCCGCCCCAAGGATGGTGCTACCCTCGAAATCCAGGTCTTCGCTGTAGTCGATTTCGACCCACCCCGTTAGCTCCGCCCGCTCGTCATTTCGTAGTGCCTATTTTAGTGATAGTGGTGAATGTCGAGAAGAAAGATGGAGACGTATCAGATGATCGCTGTACATGCCTAGGTTGAAGGTACCGAGGTGCACGCAACACCAAGGCTCTTTGATGTCTTCATCTTCGCCAACATCACGTGTTCCAGGTGAATGTTACACAGTTCTGTCGCTGACTGATGAAAGAATACGTGTTATCGTCAAATCAGTGAGCGAAGGTGGCGAAACCATCTGCTCTAGGGTGGTTGCAATACAGCTGCTGAGATGCGTGCACGACTCAAGATTCGAACACCTTCCATGCTTACCTGAAGGACACTCATGACCTCTGCGTGGTTGTCCGTGCGGCTACGCTCCATTCTCTCCATCGTATCCACCATGTTGTCGAGATCTGCTAGGCGGTCCGACGCATCTTCTTTCGCCCATGCATCCACGGCCACGTCCAGTTGAAGCGCCTGCACCTCCTCGGTGAGGATGTCGCCGAGTTGCGTGAATTGATCCGCATTTGCTTTCCGCTTCAGGGCGCGGTTAAACTTGGACGTTTGCGCATATCCCCCCAAAAAGTTTCGTATTTTCTCCACGGTCGCCAAAAGCTGGCGTAGGGCCTCGGACGAAGACAGTTTGGTGCCCTCGCGGACAGCGAGCACCGGAGGCTGGACGGCCAATACTCTCTTGAACAGCGCTTGTCGGTCGTTCTCTCTTGTGCCTTCGGCGACCTTACGGATCTCGTCCACCACATGGAGAATAACTACCGCCACGTCCGCCATTGGTGCTGCGGTGAGGGGAGCAAGCAGCGTCCTCCCTGTCATGGCAGTTCAAAGAAAGAGTGGCAAGTGCAGCGGGTGGCTTCAAGACTCAACTTGACGAAATGTGGAATGATCAATGCTTGGCAGTTTAGAATCGGCCTGATGACACGAAAGAACCGGCATTGAAAATCGCCACGGGGTTCATGCCGTAGAGTACTAAGCATCAATGTGACCGACAATATTGACCACGAAGCGAAGGTACAGGCTCGTGGCTGGCGCACACAGCAGGGAAGCGGAAAGGCGTACTAAAATGCAGTAGTTTTGCCGTTCAAACGGTCTCCACGCGATTTTGAGGCCGTTTTATTTCGTGCAGTGTGGAGGGGCAAGGAGGTATGAGACAAAACGAGGAGAGCATATGTACGCACGCCTTCGGATACGCGCTAGCATTCTGGCACCACACGCGAGTCAATTTGTACGTTTGTAGCGTAACAACTCGTTGCTTTTTGGTGACTGACATGGGAGCACACCCAATACTGCTGCTGTAAGGATATAACGTGGCCGAATCGCGCAAGGAGACGATCTCAATATGGGGAGAAAAGCGGAGGTGGTGAATTCGGGAGTCATTGTCATCCGAAATTCATGGCCGATGCTACTGAACACTGATCACGACATGCTCAAGCGCCTTTTTCACCACAACGGATATATTTCTCCGGTCAAACGTACGGGACACAAGACAACGCATGACCTGTCGCGCGCGCGTACGTCCTGTGGCGTCGTGCACGGAATCATTCGAGAATACAAGGGCGTTCTTCACGAAAACTTGATGGGCGCCGCCGAACACTGCTCCACTACGATAGTCCACGTGAAGCTGTGTGTGTAAAAAACCAAAAGTTCTGAAACGATCACTGACATACAAACCAGCAGAAAGACCCATGAGTCAAACTCCTGAATAACGTGGCAACCTAGCATCAAGAAGTGCCGCACCTCATCTGGCATCAATGGTTCTACGAAGGGCTGCGGCGTTGTCGCCAACTCAGAAGAGCACAAGGTGGTGGTGGTGGTGGTGTTCATCCCCTTAATTGGCGCTCGTCTACACATTTCGGTGGTATGTCGGCATGTCCCGACCGGGGTCACACAGGAGGAAGGTACACCAGGAGCTTTTTTATATATTACTCCTTTATTTGTATTGCCCCACCTTCCACCTGCGGTGTAAGGCTTCGATTTTTAACGCGAGAAGAGTTCAGCAGAGTTACTTTCCCTCAAATTAGTGTGTAAACACAAATTTTTCGCTTTCCACCGTCGCCAGGCCATTCCGAAGAAAGAACTCCTCCGCCAGGATTCGAACCCGGAACCTGAGCTTTTAGAAGGTTACGAGGTTACCAGGCATGCTACAATGCGGTGGTGCCGTTTTGCGGCAAACACAAACCAATTCCGGAGAAATATATGAAGGCGGACAGCAAACGCACAGCATTACAAAAAGATGAAACGGTGTGACGGCAAACGAATCAGTTCGTCACACCACCCGTAGAACTTGACAACGGGTGCACAAAACTTTCGGTGTCGCAAATTGGTCGGCTGTGGGCCACGTGCATCGACAGCTGCAGGACTGCAAAACCAAAGTTTAAGGTGACAAAACCAAAGTCTACACAAAACGTCTCCCCACACTGTATCCCCCGATAGCACGCCCGATTTGCAGGTGCGAAAAGTTGCGCATTGGAGCTGGACCCTGTCGTCGTCGTCGTCGTCGAGAGTACAGCGTGCACCTGTTGTTGGCTGTTTCGCGTTATATCGTCGACGGCACATCGTACAGGACCTTGAAGGGCGGGCGAATATAATTATGATGTGCACGTCGCCGAGCTATGTATTCTTATTTTGACTACATCTTGCACAAGTCCATGCCTGCCACCATTGTTGATTTGGAAACGAAGACCTCATGGACGCTGCTCGACTTCGCTACGCCCCTATGGACAAATGCTGCTGTATCCGTGTGTGTGTGTAAAGCCGAAGTTCTCGAAATAAGAGTCGGAAGGAGTTGCTTCTTCAACCAAGCCGGCGAGTCAAGAATTAAGAGTTGTCGTGGGGCTTGTACCGCAGATCAGATCATCTAGCTTGAACGATGCCAACGAAAGGCTTCCAACTTCTTCGCTCGATCAGCACGAGTAGAACGCTGCTACGACCGTGGGTGGACGATGGTGCTCTCCACCGCATCGAAATGCACAAATATATGCTGGTGGACAGCACGACACATCGGACAGATAGGTAGAATAGGAACCAAATCGGAATTGAGTTCAGTTCAAAATAACAAAAGAGGTGGGTGGGTGTGGGTCGGTAAACAACCAGCTTTACAGGCCACACGCCGACCTTCACAAGGGATGCACAAAACTTTCTGCCTCGCGAAGTCAGCGGCGGCGTGTCACTCGAGTGCGAACAACGACGCGACAAGGCTAAACTTTGGAGGAAGACTGAATCCAACGTTTGGCAGAGGTGCTGTAGGCGGGTCTCCCAATTCTCACCTGAAAGCGGCCTCGATTTTCAGGCGCAGTGGGCGCGCGATGGGGCTTAACCTTGTCGTTCCTTGAGTTGAGTTCAACGCGCTAGCTAGCAAAATTTGCTTAGGGTAGGTGGGTGGCTCCGTCGATGACTCCATACTAGTCTCGGGCTGTACCCTCACGTTTGCAGAAGCCCGACACCCCTCGCCCGTCCCTCGTTGGGGGTCTCTTTTCATTCTCTCCACCCTAGACTCCACCTACACATTGGCACACATCAACACGAGAACCGCCCAACGCGATCCACAGAGTGTCGACTGGGTGTTTTGGAACGCGTCGATCCACTAAGGCCGCCGCGAGGACAACAAGTGAGACGCAGCCTTCGATCGTGATTCCCTCTCCGAACCCCAGCTCATCACAGATTCGCACGCTTTGTGATGCAATCTAAACAGCACACACTCTCTCCTGTCTAGACCACAGAGCTTCTATAATAGGGCTGTGTGTGCACAACGCGCACTTCGGTTAAAGCTTTGCGATCCTCCCGTGATGTTGACCGGGGTTGGATGTGCATCACACTCCCTCGCTCGCGGAGGCACACGGGAAGAAATCGCGCTTCCTTGTCAACCCCGATTGTTCTGCTTACCGATCTGCCCTCTTGTGGCAACTGCTTGGTGCGGTAATTACTGTGTGACGTGTGAGGTATAAATGGTGTGGTCGGCGAGGCTCTTCCTCTCATATGAGGTTGAAAACTCACAACAGGGAAGATGGTACCCAAACATCGCGGGCGAATGGATCTGTTTTAACCCGTTGAGATCTGCAAACTACCCGTCCTATCGCATACGAATACCCACTACCATGGGCACTCCTCTTCCAATGCATGGAAAAGTTCAATTTGCTGGAACACGAAGCACAACGCATCGGATCGGAGAGATAGGTCAAAACGACGAATCATTTGGGAAACGAGTTCGGTGGAAAATAAAAAAAAAGGCGGGGCGGCAAGCAAACCAGCTCGTTAGTTTACGCACGGAGCTTCACAGGGGATGCACACAGCTTCCTGACTCGCGAAATCGTCGTCTGTGTGCCACGCGTGAACGACGACTGCGCGGTCACATGGCCAGATTTCAGTAAGTCTGAATCAAAAGTTTGGCAGAAGTGCGTCGGAGGGGTCTCTCGACTCTCACCTCAAGCCAGTCTGAATCAAAAGTTTGGTAGAAGTGCTGTCGGAGGGGTCTCCCGACTCTAACCTCAAGGCAGGCTCGATTTGCAGGCAAAGTGGACACGCTGTGGCGGCGGGACCCTCTCGTTCGTTAGTACAATGCACTGCTTGCCCGGCTTCTTGAATTTTGCTAATTGTGTGGAAGCGGGTCTGTGTGAAAGCGAGTCGGAGGCTCCGTACTTGTATCGGCACGCTGCTCCCTTTTGTCTACCAAAACACGACACCCCTTCCCCTTCGCCCCCGAAATGATCTCCCACTCTCTCCACACACACACCAGCACATGGCACGCAACTTGTTTTCAACATGATCCACAGAGCGTCAGGGTATCGACTGGGTGTTGCGAAACGCGCCGATCCACCAAGGCCACCGCGCGGACAAGTGAGAAGCAGCCTTCGATCTTGATCCCCTCTCCAAACCCAATATTACATACTTGTGACAGATTCGCACTCTTTGGCCAGCGATCTAAACAGCACACACCCTCCTGTGTAGAACCCGGAGCTTCTTCAGCTGCAGACCCGAACATCGACGCGTTTAGCTCCGGCGCAACTCATGACGACTACTTACACCTCCTTGGAGTCGATTTGGGATAATTTTGGCAGTTTTGATTGCGTGCATTGTGCATTATAAAAAACGTTCAGGGCGCAATGCTCATCCCGTGTCTCAACTTCTCCGAGAGAGCGAGCCAGTTCCCGCTTTGTTCCTGCAGCGTACACCACCACGAGCGAACCTACACATTGGGAAGGATTTGGCTCTGGTCGGCAGTTCCACCCGGATTCGTCAGTCTTGCTATCCCATTTCTTCCCCTTTTGTGCTCTCACNTTGCAGCGTGCACAAACGCGAGCGAACCTAAACATTGGGAAGGATTTGGCTCTGTCCGGCAGTTCCACCCGGATTCGTCAGTCTTGCTATCCCATTTCTTCCCCTTTTCTCCTTCGGAGATCGTTAAGACACGGCTGAAGATTAGGCACATGATAGCTTCAATCATCTCTGTTCGCACGCAGTATTCTCCGCGCCAACGTCTCCCTGCTTCAGCGGCAGACCCGAACATCGACGCGTATAGCTCCGGCGCAACTCATGACGACTACTTACACCTCCTTAGAGTCGATTTGGGATCATTTTGGCAGTTTTGTTTGCGTTCATTGTGCGTAATAAAAGCCGTTCAGCGCGCAATGCTCATCCCGTGTCTCAACTTCTCCGAGAGAGCGAGCCAGTTCCCGCTTTGTTCCTGCAGCGTACACCACCACGAGCGAACCTACACATTGGGAAGGATTTGGCTCTGGTCGGCAGTTCCACCCGGATTCGTCAGTCTTGCTATCCCATTTCTTCCCCTTTTGTGCTCTCACTCTTGAGAGGTCGTTACG